AGCAATCATAAGAAATACAAAAATAGATGAAGAAAATGTTGTTATCACACACATAACCTATATTTACTACTACAATGTAAGGAAAACAACACCATTCACTGGTCTTGTTGAATAAAGAGAATGTTTGAAAATAAATTGTAAGTGCTAGCAATCTGTTGCAACCCACTGCATGCTGTGTCAACATATTGTTTCAAATTTATCACAGAAGTCATTGTAGCTTTTACCACCCTCCGACTCATCCAAAGATGAATACCGTGAGAAGATGGCAGAAAGCTGACAATGGAGGCCGACAATGCAGTTCAAATTTGTGTTCACAGTGCAGGAGTATAACTAAAAATTAGAAAGAGAGAAAGCAAAGGGGTCAATACAATACCCTTGATATAGTTACCACAGCTTATACAACATCAAATGAAGCAGGAACTTAAGAAAGAACCATGGCTAAGGCTGCTGCCAGTTGTTCTAGAAGGAACCCTAGATGGACCAAAGACAAGGGATTGTCAACTAAGGAGAAACAACACAAGAGATTGAATTTAAGAAACTGAAATTGTAAGTGCCATACATGATTGTGGGCTATCCTCCTTGGGTGGTACTATTTTTCCTTTAATCAATTTTCCTCTGATCTAATTTGAATGAGAGCATAATTTATATACAAACATGCCCAGCCACCAAAAAAGATCAACAGAAGGCAATGGCTGGTCAGTCTAGCTGAATTGTTGGTCATTTGGTACGAAAGGTCTGGAAGTAACCAATATTTGGATTCAGCTCCTATCCAAGATCCGTTTTTAAAATTTTTGATACATGGGGCGACCAAACTCCCTCCTTATATCTACAATACTCTTTTCAACTCAAAAGGCAGTTAGATGCTTCAGCGCACAAGGTAAAGAGATAAAACAAACATTGGGAACTAGTAAGCTAAAAAGTTTTAGTTCAAACTTCAAACCAAAAACCCCAGCCAACTATGTCAGAGTCCCAAAATGGGTCATTTAGCTATTCATCATTGTGCTAATCAAAATGTAGCCTTTTACTAAAGCATTTAAAACTTGTTTGGTTAATGAAATTCCCTTCAGACCATCTCATTAGAATTGTCATGAAATTCCCTTCATCCTTTCCATCTCTTTCAGATTCATCTCATACAAATCAGGAAGAACCAAATTGCAGTAACACAGAAAAATCAGTTCCAAGATTGACTCTCTTTTTTTTTCTCTTAAATTTATGAAAAAACAAATAAATTGAACAGAACGGATATCCAATGCTTGATAACCCTAATCACAAAGAAAATTCAGCTTCAAAATTACCACATTTCATGAAAATAGGGCTCGATAGAGGCTGATCTAACAACTGCTGTATTCAATCTAATAAAAAATGGAAAGAATACAACCTGAAGATTGATTTTCACAGAGGGAACTGGTGGACGAAGACGAAGCAACAATGAAATTGTTGTTCCTGAAGAGACATCGACGTGAATGGTTATGGAACTTTTGAGTTCGAGATCAATCTTCTCGCTCTCGTCCATTGAAATCGATTCACGGATCGAAAAGTGAAATCGAACGCAAAGAGAGAGAGGCACAGATTGATTTCAATTCTCAATCGAATCAGAGAAAAGAGAGAAGAACGAAGCGAAAATGCAAAAGGAAAATTTTTTGAACACTGAATGTAGGCGGTTTCGAAATTCGAATTGAATTTAATAATAATAATATTAAATAACGATAAAGTTTATAACTTTATATATCAAGGTCAGGATACAAAGTACGCAAACCCGAATCAATCAATTTGTGGTTTGGGCATCTATTTTGTAATTTACGCTTTAGGTTTATTCCTTTTTCTTTTTTTTTTCTTTTAATATTGAAAGCAATTTTTTATTTTTATTATTGTTTTTTTTAAAAAAGTGAATTACTTTCAAAATTTTTAGTTACAAAAAAAGATATTTCACTTTTTTTCAAAATAAATTTTTGCTCTTATTTTCTATCTCTTACCACTTCAACCATCTACCTCTGTTAGTTTTAATATGGATATTTTTCGCCTAAACATCTAAACCTTCTAATGGTCCTCGGTCATTTTCATTATCAGATTTACATCTTCCATCTTCACCTATGATGCGACTTTTTCAACTTATCAAAATAGTCCTTTTTTTTTTCAAAGCATTTTTATGACTAATTTTTTTTATTATAAAAAATCAATAAAACCACTATCATATCACAATTTAACTTCTTATACACATTAATTTGTGACTTTATATTATGATTTTTTTTACAAGATTATATTTAAAAATAATTTAGATAAATGAAAAAAATATTTTACACCCCACCACACCACCCTTTCTCCTCCATCAATCACCGAACCCAAGCATCACCGCTTATTCTCCTCCACCAGTCACTGTCACTCTCTCTCCATCTTTTTGTAACTCCCAACAACTACAATATTTTCTTAAGTTTTTAGTGACATTTTGAAGTGCACAAAACTAATTCTTCTAATCGACATTTTTTAGTACTTGTGGCATTTTGAACAAGGCCAACTGTCATCGGTGCCACACGATAGATAACGAGTTCCATGGTAGACACTTGGCTGTCATTTGTATCCGTGCCACGGTAGATACTTGCAAGTGTCACTGTACCATCATGACTAAAAACATTTAATGACATTTTAATGTCATGGTAGATATTATTTATGGCACTATCAAGCGCCATTAAAAAAAGAGTTAGTGACACTTATAAGTGTCATTACACCATCAAGACTAAAACCTTTCAGTGACACTTTAATGTCATGGTAGACACTATTCGTGACGCTATCAAGTGCCATTAAAGAAGACTTACAATCTAAAAAATGCCACGATATGAATTTTTAATGACGCTTATTATGCCACAATTGATATTTATAACACCTTCATAAATGCCACTAAATCCAATTCATTTGTGCCATTAAATAGATATAAGTGTCATTGAAACTTATTTTAGTGACACTTTACAAAGCTACTATCACTACTATAAAATGCCACTTATATATTTTTTTCATTGACACTTTTAAAAGCTACAATTATGCATGCGTAAATACCAATAAAAATTGAATCAATTTTATAAACAATTAAATATTAATTGCCACATCATATATTAATTTGACATCCATTCATCCTGTAATATTTTCATAATAATAAACAAATATTACCACCATAAGATCATCACATCAAAAAAAAAAAAACCACAATCAATTATTCATTAAAATCTCAATCCAAAATTATTAAATATTCCACCACACTAACAAAGTTAAAACAAAAACAATTTAAAAGAAAATTATTCCGACCATAAGTTCTGAAAAGCCATAGTGATATGCATATTCCGGAGAGAAAAATTATCAAAAATAAAATTAGTTCCCAAATTCTCAACCTCACTTGTATAAATATTCTCGGCTAGCATCCATAACTTGTGAAATCTGCATCTAAAAGATAAAGATATGAAGGTAATTGAAACTATATTAAGTTAATATAAGTTTGTTAATAAAATTAGTATTTACGAAAAAAATATACCACAAATGGAGCAAGCCAAGCAACATGAGCTCCAATAGCTTGTCCAATTGTTTTGACAAGTCCATATGATCGGATCAAGCTCTCATTAAGTTTGATTGGCACTGGAACATGTACCTCCCAATAGTCAGGTCCTAGTTCTTCCCCTTCTACTTCTTTAGATGCGTCTGTGCTTTTAAGTACTCCGATTGCAACTGTTTCTGTTGGCCTAATGATACTTTTTAGAATAACTATATTTCCACCTGTAAATCAAGATTTAACTACTTAAGTAATTGTATATTTAAAATTAATAAATAATTTTTTAAAAAAACTAGTACAAAATGCTAGAGTAAAGATGATCACAACTGAAAGTGATATGAATTTCTATATTAGATAAGCAAGCCAAATGCTTTAATCACTTAATTGGTTCACTACACTACAACAAATTATATAAAAGTAACAACCGTAAAGCTTTAGACCATATCAAACAATAGCTTAAAAAATCAATAACAACCAAAAGCACCAATCAACGACAATGAAGACCATGTCCATTATCAATATCAGGATCACCTAACCTCAACGATGTAAATCAAATGTAATTGTGAAAAA